AATCGCGTCGAGCAGGTATACCAGCGCGTCGGTGGCGGGATTGTTCGTTTAGTACACGTTGTAGACAGCAGCAGCGCGACGATTACTTTGTGTTTAATAGAGATTAATAGAAGAAATAGCAAGCTGAATATCTGCTTTATTCAAAGCTAATTGAGTAGCGCTACGTTGAGCCATTGTTCGTTGAGATAGGAGAGGTGCGCAGGTTTGGTGGGGTGCGGCGCTCGCTTGCCTGCGGCGCTCGCTTGCCACATACGTTATATATATATATATATGCTGTGGATAAGGTATGGATATGCGTATACGTGATATCTGAGTAGAAGTAAGTACCTTGGTAACTATCGCATCCTACTCTACCTAACTAACCAAGTAGTACATACATACATACATACATACATACATAGCACAGCATATTGCTAGCGTTAATATGGAACTCGAAATTGAAACCAAAATCAGGCCTACGTACACGCAATGTAAACGAGAAGTTTGTGGTTCGAAATCAATGCATTAATGCAAAGTAGAGATCTGGATGCTGGTGTGCAAAGGAGGGCGTGGGGAATAGAAAGGGGTGTGATGCATGGACTTTGGAAGGCAAGGCTGTGGAAGCGAGGGGAGGGTAGAGGGGATTTTAGTGGGTAGAATAGAGTAGAGTAGAGTAGAGTAGAGTAGGGTAAGTAGATTTTGTTATGGAAATTTTGGTATGGCGTGGTATGGCGAGATATGGTGTTGAAAGGGGGGGGTGTAAAGGAGGGAGATGGTGTGTTGGTATGCTGGTCTGGCTGGTTCAAATGCCCTGCCTGTGACTGGCGTTTCTAGCCGCTCTAGCAGCCGTAGCCGTACTGGCCCTTCTCGTGTTTGTCATGTGGGTAGATGGCTTAGCACGGCTAATTTCGCACAGAGGTTTCTAACATCTTGGTATTTATCCAGTTACAAAGAGACATATGTAGATACACAGCTTCTCGGAGCCAGGTATTGTCAGTAAGGCCCTACGCAGAACACATGACTAATCTTACTACGCAGCTAAAGCCTCAATAAGAAAGGCAGAAAGAGAAGAACCCAAGACATTCTTGCCGCATAGTGGATATCTGTAAAGAACCCGTTCAAAAAGGGCAGCCAGACAAGTCCTCCTCATTCATCCCTCAAAACCACCATGCAACAGTGCCGAAAGCCGCATTTGCTTCATCGCCCCCACACTCGCCTTCGTGAGACACGCCACCTTTTCAAACCGCGAGTCATACTGAATCGTGTATGTATCCAGCATATCTACAAACGCCCCTTCGTCGGGTGAATATCCATCCAAACCATCACCGGCAGTAGGCTCCTGCACTTTGAGTAGCACACGTGGATTCAACACGGAGCTACGCGAGGGCAAGTCCAGAATCCGAGTCGTAGTTGCACTAAAAATGTACGTGCTGCGCTGGCGGATGGCTTCTGGTTTCCGTGTTAGCCCGTCGCCGCCCGCGGTGGAAATGACGAGGCCGATCATGCAGTCTGGCAGCTTCCTGGCGATGATAAAGGGATAAGTCTTCAGACTGATGGCGCCGCAGGACGACGGTATGTCGGCGGGGGAGGGGCAGAGCGAGAGGCGCGGGAGAGGCAGCCAGCCAATGTCTCCGACTGCGAAGACGTCCTGGGAGACCTTTTGGATGGATTGGTAGCGCGGTTTTACGGCTATGAGACTCTCGGACGAGATTTGGGTACTGGCGCTGGCGTACTTGTCAGGGACCGTGGCTGGCATGGGCATGCTGGTCCACGTTCCCAATCCGGGAATCTCAATATTACAGCTTGATATATAGGCGGCTTTGCGCATGGCTTTGTAGGCGGATGCGATAAGGTGTGTGGCCTGCTCACGGTCATCTTGCAGCTTGTATGCACACACCTGGATCTTGGCCCGGAGATTGGATATCTTTTCGTAGCATTTGCACCAGTCCGAGCCCACGACGCCTGAACGAACCAGGGCTTCCTCCTCCTTCGAAACTTGTTCTTCCAGATTGCAGAGCTCGAGCTTAAGCTGAGCACATGTACTCGCTTTCTCAAAAGCAACAAAGGCCCCCCGAGTTGTCTGTGCATTAGACACAATACGTGCGACGTCTTCGACACTGATAGCTGATGGCGTGATTTTGTCTGTGGCCTGGACTTTGTTTGCGGTTGTGGCGCCAACAAGCTTTGTATGCTGAATTTGGTGCTCTTGGAGCTTGCTTGACTTGGCTTCGACTACCTCTTGGATAATGGACCTTGTTTCCTTGCTTAGGGTGTCCTGTAATTTCTTCACTGCGGCTTCGTATTCTCCAAGAACTTGCCCATACCTTTTGGCCGAAACCGTAGAGACCGAAGCCTCTGTATCATTGCGCTTCTTTTTCGGAAACGGTCCCCCCATATCGCAGTTGAGTAAGCTTGCAGTTGGAAGGGTGTGCAGCACTGAGGATCCTGAATAGCTGTTTCAACGAGAAACACGAAAGCTTCTTGATGTGTTTTTCTGTTTTCGTTGACGAGATCAAGGGAAAATTGCTGTGAGATGGGTGGTGTCACATCTCGCTTCTCAAGTCACCTTCACTTTCACAACAAACGGCCCTCCTACCGCATTCAGTGGGACAATCGTGACTTTAACATGTGATAGCTTTGAACAACTACATACCTTCATCGCTACCTGCCCACCTACAAGCAACTCTCAACCTTCTTCCTGACCTCTGCTATTCTCGCCCCCGTAACCCCATCCTGGATATCTCCATCCTTGAAGATGCTAAAACTTGGCATTTGCCTAACGCCCAGCTCCTGCGCAATATCCTCGCATTCCTCGACATCGTATGTGTAGAATTTTACATTGGGATACTCTGTTGCCATCTTTGCGACTTCGGGCGCGACAGCCTTGCACGAGGGACACCAGGTTGCTGTGCCCTCGAGGATGGTGACACCTTCGTACATGACGGCTTTGAGGTACTCTGCTTTGGAGTGGAGGGTAGGGATCTCGGGGGATGCCATGGTGTGTGGGTGTATGAGTGCTTGGTATAGGGGTTGTTGTGAGGGTATGAGGGGTTGAGGGGGGTTGAGCAATGTCGTGGGGTAACTTGTAAAGCATGACGTCATTTCACTGACCCGCGATGAAGCTGGGTATTAACTGGACATTGTAAGTAAGACAGGCAGAGAATCTTGATAAGTGATAAAACCTATGTGAAACCGTACGCACGCCTTGCTAGAATACACTCTGCTTCTTGTCGTTGCATCAAATCAACAGCCCTCAGCTTCCCAAACTCTTCTCATTCCGCAGTCAGACAACATGGCGCCCAACTCACAAGCTATTCAAAAAGACCGATATCGGCAAATATCATCATAATTCAAACTATCAAGGTATCATAATCTCATCTTCCCAACTGCTCGACTAACCACGTCTATTCGCCTTTGCCCTGCTTCCCATAAAACGCGTCCTCACCACCGAGCGCCTTGAGCGCCTCAGCCGAGTTTTTCTTCGACTGCTCGCTGGTATCTGTGATGATTGTGTCAGCAGGTATTTATACAAGTGTCATGTTGCGCGAGCGAGAACGACAAGCGCACCCACAGGGAGAGATAGAGAGAAAGAGAGAGAGAGAGCTAGAACCCCCCCCCCCCCCAAAAAAAACATACTCGGATTACTCAAGTTCGCCTTGTGTCCCGCAGCCTGATGGCTAATATCCTCAACGGTGTTGTTAATGTTCTGGTCTGCCTCGCTGAGACCCGGTGCGGTGATGCCTTGGTGAGAGGGACCTGACATGTTTGTTGTAGCTACAAGGGGATGAATGTGTATGTGTATGTATGAGGATGAAAACTTTTTGTTGGAATAATGTAGTATTAGTAGTGGAAAGTATACTTCTTTATATATATATATATATATATATATATATATATCGGATACACTGACGCAATACCCCAGTTTACCCAGTCCTGTCCTGTCCTGTCCTGGCCGGTCTGGTCCAGCTTACACGCATTTGCGTGCCATCTTTCCAGCCATGCCAGACAGCCACATTACGTCTTCCACTTCCACTTCCACTTCCCCTTGCACCAGTTCCAGTGCCAGTGCCAGCATGACGCCAACACCCAGCCCCGAGACAAAACAGCGATGTCATACATATCTTGGCGACTCGAGTGCATAATCCCATTCCTACACCCACCCACCCACACCCAGGCCCAGGCACCCCAAAAAAACAGCAAATGCTTATGTGACGCCAGACGCAGGCGCTAAAAAAAAGGGGGGGGGCCGATATCCGCGTTCCGATATCCCGAGATTCGACATTTACGTAGCAGCAGTAGTATTCTTTGCTCACCTACCCTTCCACCCTGTTTCTCTCTCTCTGTGTCTCTCTCATTATCCTAACTATGTACATATCCCATCCCTTCCCCTCTCTCCTCTCTCCCCACTGCATGTACTCACCCACCAGCCCGCAAACTCGCAAGCCGCGATTCCCAGTGTCTCTCAATCCAATATCCGATATCCAAGGCACAACTTAACTTTCACTACCACTACCACTAGGTGTAGCACTCAATTTCCTGTTAGCACGAAACACCAGGATCAAGGTGGTGTGCAAGGAACGCGGTCTGTGCCTGTGTGTGTGTGTGGAGTGTGGAGTTGCTATACAGTAGTGGAGGTTATGACGGCATACTCGCAGCTCGTTACGCGGTTAGCACTTCCGGATTGTCGATCATCGACAAGGGGGTATCGGAAAAGACGGCTCTCTCGCTCACTCCCACTCCCAGCTCCTACTCTCGATCGTGAGGGTGGTGGTGTGGACCCAGCAGCTGTTGCATTTAACGATCTGCGATGATGAGGTGTGTGTGTGTGTGTGGGCCAATCAGCATGCCATGTAGGTGTAGGGAGGATGAGAAGTGGTGGGACTTTTTGATTTTGGGCTGAGATGGTGGTGATGGTGTTGCGAGGTCTGAGCTACATGTTGCACCTACAACCTGCAGAAGGGATGGATAGATGGATATGCATAGGAATGGCGGGTTGGTATACAGTGGTTTTCTACTAGTATTGCAGTAATAATAGGTAACAACACCCGTGACAACCATGTAAATCCTCATCTAATCTATCTGTATCCCCTTACTGTCGCATTTTACAACTCATTGTGCTGAATCTTTTCCGCATCCTTCTCCTTCTTCTCGCGCAGCTGCTCCTGCTCCTGCACATCCACCAGCTTCTGCTCGCCCTTGACTCTCTTTGCCAGCGCCGCAATCTCCTCATCATAGACATTCCACTCGGGAATCTGTCGTCTCGCGCGGTCGAGCTTGGGCTCTTTGGTCTGCGGGTTGTTGCAGAGATCAATGGTCTTTGCTTTGGCAAGATCCTCATCGCTGCACCATGTCTCGCACCACAGCCATTCTTGCGGCAGGCTGTGGATGGGAAGGTTGAATTGCATGTTGTTTGGCAGATCCTGGTCCAGGTTGGAAAGCGAGTTGGGGTCGGCTGAAAGGGCGTGGTATTGCTGGCGGAGCCGGTCACCGGCGGCGAGCTGGCGGAAGCGGTTGAGATCGACTACGTAGAGCGCAGAAATATGGTAAGGACGGCCACGCAAGAAATTGGCCCAGTATCCAGTCTTCCAGAAGCGGAAACCTTCCATTTCGGTGCGCGAGTCACCCATGGGAGTGAAGCCATAGGGCGCGCCCTTGAGATCGTGTTGGACAAGCTCGTACATATCAGTCCTGACAATCTGGTCCGCATCGACAAAGATGACCTTGTCGAGATCCAGAGGAAACAAGACGTCCAAGAAAAGGATTTTGTAGCCCCAAATCTCGCGCTGCTTCTCCGTTTGACCACGTAGCCAGTGAGGCCACTTGTACGTGACCATCTCGTACTCGAAGCCATACTCTGCGGCCATGTGTGGCACAAAGGACTTGAAGCTGGGCGAGAGAAACTGCTCAATAAACCAAAACTTGACAGTGTGCTTCGTGTGCTTCATGACCGAGAGCATCATAATGTTCAGCATGCGCTCATACAGATGGCCTGACGCAACGGAAAAGATGTTGATGTCTGCCTGTGTGCCCTTTGTGACTGCTTTTCCGCCCAACAGCAAATCAGCGCCCTTCTTGAAGACTTTCTCCGAGTCAAAGTTGACGCCAATCTTGCCTAGGAACTTGTTGACCTTCTGCGCACTCTTACCAGCCAACTCGGAAGCAAGCGACTCCTCTGGTGCGAGAACGTCAGCCGTTTCTTGTCCAGGCTTGCGAGATAGTCGTGGGAAGATGGTGGCTCCTTGGAAGCTCATGAGTGCAATCTCGGTAGTCTCGTCGCCAGGCTGGGGAGCGTAGCCAATTGGACCCGCACTGTCGAGGTTGAAGACCTCCTGGGACCGACCGCTCTTCAGCTTAATGTTGTAAAATCCAGGGTTAGCCTTGAACTGCAAGTAGCCCAGGTTAGCCATGATGATGGTGTCAGCAAAATGCGGGTCTTTCTCAGTTTCCAAAACGACCTCGACCCCTCGAGGTGCTTGCCCGGCGTTCGTAGTATCGCGAGAGTGTCCTTCGATGAGAATGCTCTCCAGCCCATAGACAGCATCGACGTTGGAACCGGCTGGAATCGTGCTGAGCTTGATATTGTCAAGATCATAGATGGACTCTATTGGCGCGACGAGCCATGACGGAGGCACATCCATACCAAGGTTCAACAGCGCCTCCTTCGGGATACCAGAGAAATGGGCTCCCAAGCTTCCCACAGATCCGTCCGAGTTGAAGTGAGGTCGGGCTTCAAGCACATATCTATAGAAACGCTTAACAGGGAGTTCCTGCAGCATTTGCTTAGGATTCAAAAAGATCCTGAGATGAACACCCTCCATGTCGCTCAAGGCCTTGAGAATCGGAACCCACTTTTGGGCAAGCTCGGTAGCCGGGTCCACAGAAGCCACAATTTGGAACACTGCTTTGTCCTTGTCACCCTTGATAATGGCAGTGTGTTCAGCAGTCCATTCATTGAACGTACTCAACCTCAAAGTCGAAGCCGTTTCAAAGATGCCCTCTGGAACATCCGAGACGGTGGATAGCGCAACCAACGATTGTATCTTGGCAATATCGAACGGCGACTGTATCTTGTCCAAAATCTGGAGCTCAGTGAGCGCCTTGCTTAGAGGATCAGTACGCTTTTTCGTCTCGTAGCTGATTAATGTCTCCATGTCGTCTTTAGAGAACGTGTATTCTTCTGGGATAGGTCCGACATGGCGTCCATTGACGACAAGGCTGTGTTGTCCTGGCTTCAGACCGAAAGCGTCGTAAATGGGCTCGGCGGCTTTCCAGAATAGTCTTGACTCTGCAGGGAAGGAGACAGGTTTGGATTCTCGGGCCAGGAGTTCTAGCAGAGTTTCGATTGTGAGCTTGCCATCAGTCTTGGAAGCCCCCAAGATGTTTTCTGACACCTTGGACTGTTCTGCGCCGGCTTGAGGGTTGTGGATCAATACAGCTTCCACGTTCGGGTTGGCTTCACGGAAATCTGCCAACGACTTGAGAAGCGCAAGGCCATTCTCCGAGTCAAAATCCGCGACGAGCGCAATATGCACCCAGTCGCTCTTGCTTGCAGACTCTGATGCGTACACCCGTGGCATCTTGTTGTAGATGTCGCCATGGGCCTCTTCAAACTCGGCCATGTTGATGAGTGTGATGTTCTGTTCCTTCTCGGGAATGATCAAGGGGTTACGCCTACTAGCAGCCTGGAAAACAAAATATAGCGGGACCCAGCTTTCTTCATTGAAGGCGCCTTCAAAGACGCCCTTTTGAATTTCGCGAAGATCCATGCTGATTCGTTCACTGACGGTCTGGAGCCACTCTTCAGTCGCAGGAACAGGAACACCGTTCACAAAGACTGGTGCTCCTGGGCCTTCTGCAGCCAGGCGCTGCAAATACTGTTTAGCGCCTGTAATGCGTCTGGCTATATCTTCCGAGTTCCAAACATCTTCAAACGTAAGCGATGTTTGTTCCTCGCGGAGCGTTGATGTCTTGACAGTTGCGTCAAAGATGGCCTTGTCTGGCTGTGCGAGCTTCTTGTTGTCTAATGATGATTGCAGATATACTTCCATGGCAGTGATGCTATAGGCTTCCTGGAGGTGGTAGACGATTTTGGCCTGGGCTAGGGCTTCGGATGTAAGAGTTTGAGGAACGAGACCCCAGCGTATGGGAATGCCGCGTTTGACCAGGTTGAGAATGGTTTCAAGTAGATTTGTCACATCGTTAGCGGAGGTGAAGTCAACGGATACGATGGCGTTGTGAATGTCTCTGCGGCAAGACGGCATCTGACCAGGGAATGTTCGTTGCAAGAGAGCCCTGAGGTCAGTTGGCCAGTTTTCATATCTGTCATCGTTCTCGATATCGTTCAGCCAAATAATGACGTCGCCACCTTCGGTTGCATCCCTAAAATCGTAGCGTTGTGGTTCGCTTTCTGACTGCGTTTCCGCAATCGCTGAATGCGACAAGAGAGAGATGACTTCGGGTCCAGAGAGGCCCTGGCTGCGGATGCCATTGACGAGTTTTCGCTCGCGCCGCAGGTGTGCCAACAACGAGTATGGGTTGACATCACGAGTGGGTACTTGCACGCCGTTGATCCAAATGACATTGTAGCCAGTGGGCAGCAGTTGTTCGCGATTCTTGATGTGCTCTTCAACAAATGCGTCGGAGGCGTTGTGGGAGGCGATGATGGAGGAGTACTTGGGAAAGTCCTGAACGAGCTTTAGAAGGGTGTCCATGGGTTGCTCGCTTTGCGTCACGAAACTGGCGGCTTTGAGCCCGAGATCAGCCACGTCGTCCTTGGACAGGGGCTTGAGATCGGCAACGTCTTCTTCGCTGTTCAAATCAGTGTCCATTGGTTTCTGCGCCGTGTTCTTGTCACTCTCTGCTGCCTGCCTGTCGTCTATAACAATGTAGTCTGTGCGCTTCAGTTGGAGCGCCACACCATATCCATTGACGACTAGAGGCGATGCTGGGGCCTTGGAAGATGGCTTGTGTCTCACACGGTACGATGTCTTGCCTTGCTTGGCGGTGCTGCTCAGTGTCTTGTGCCATTTTTTGAATTGCGGAGCGGTGATGTCGGCATAGAGGATGGCGGGTAAAGCTGAGGTGTTGCCCAGTATGCGGTCAAAGGGCAATTGGTATGTCCTGTCAGCCATCAGTCACTTGCCACGTCCACTGCGCTGGGTCACGCACCGTTCGCTCGCGATTTTGCCAAAGGGCTCATCCAGGTGGACGGAGCAATATTGCTTTCCGTGGAATGACGCCCATATTTCGCATGCATCCGTTTGCTCGGCAGCCAACGAGGGCTCGACGGATGTATTGTAGAATTGGTAGTGTGCTTCTATGCGTGGCGCAGCCGAGCGGACGGAAAGGGCAAACTCAAAGGACGAAAGAGCTTCTGGCTGCGTGATATGGCCATCGCTCTGCAGCAAGTCTACAAAGGCGGTATACAGCTCCTGCTCTGTAGTCTTGTCGTCAAAGTAGCCCTCGGATATGCGGTCGAGAATGGGGTAGTATGCGGTCGCGTTCTCTTCTGCAGCGGTTTCGCTAGATTGGTTAGCATTTGAGCCTGGCTGTGCATGAGGCTCCTTACAGCAGCTCGACGAGATATGGGGCAGGGCTGAAGGCAGCCTGCAATGCGACATTGATGCTGGGGCTCGCCAGTACGCCAGTGTGGCGCAATGCGCTGAGCACAAGCAGTGCTTTTGCACCGAGTGCAGCGGGCGAGGCTCTCATGCTGCGAGCGTTGCCTCAATTCGCTGCAGACGTATGGTGCTACAAGGCCGAGTTGGTGAATTGTGTCCACAGTTGGACCGGGATGTTATGAAGTTGCAACGTGTAGCATAACTCGGTGGGCAAGACGCGCGCGTAGGAACAATAGTGTGTTTGCTTGCACAGGCGTGGGCCGGCGGTCCAATGCCTCGAGTGTGGTTATGAATCGTATTCAAGAAAAGACACCGTCACCAGCCACGAGCTCAGCAAGCTGCCGTTGCTGTCGTGGTCGAAGAGTCTCCCGCGTCTGGCTGGCGATCCATGCACCGGGACGCGGCTATCTTATCTTATCTTATCTTATCGATCCCGGGCGCCGAGCCTCCGATGCCGCCGCGCCTTCATCTGGTTTACGATGCGCTAGGCTTTGCTATTAACAGCGACAGAGCAACGGCCGGGCGTCGTTGCTAGCAAGGGTGGAATACGAACAGCAATGGCTGCGGCTGTTGAGAAAAGGAACATGCTGGGACGCTTCATCATCATACGTGTCCTCTGACGAAACGTCACCCAGAGTTTGCCTAAGACGGGGCGTATCAGAGCCTATGGGGGCACGACCCTGCCGCTGCTAGACTGCTACACCCTGGGCCTGTTGCCGCCCCCTGTGACGGCGATTGCGCTGGTTGACAGTTCGGGGACAACGGCGCGTGCTCGCGACATGGAGTCGGCGCAAAAAAGCCCAATACAACCACTGGCTCGTCGAAGGAGGCATGGCGTGCGGGCTGTCGGTGGTGAAGATGCCAAGCCTCTCTCCGCTGGGGGGGAGCGGGACGCTCGGAAAGGACGCGACCACGACTACGTACGACGAATACTCGTCCAGGCTTGGTCGCGGTATCGTATAGGTGGTGGTCGCAAACGCCTATTGCTTGCGCGTATCTGCGCCAGCGTTCCCGCTGTTTCGCGGCTGGGCTCTCTTAGCCTGCCCGAGGCGACAGCGTGTCGCGAGCAGCCGTATATGTCGTTACGCTGACAGCTGATGTGACCTGCACATAGACATACTTGTAGACATGGAGAGGCGCTGCCGCACAACTCAGGCCGGCACAGGCACACACAGGCACAGAGAGGCGTCCAGCGCCCTGCCAAGCAGTTGCACGGCGAAAGCTTGTGTGCAGGGCGTGTTGCAGGGCTAAGATTAGCCAGACAATACGAGGAGCGCGCTGCGCCGTCTACCAGCCCAGCCCATGCTCCACCAGACAAGGCCGCCTCTTGCTGACGACTGTTTTGGCTCCTCCGCCGCCCTGGTCTCCGCGCAATGTTCTCTGCTTCTCCTCCTCCTCCTCCTCCTCTTCCTCCTCTTCCCCTCAATGCGGCGCCTCTAACACGACACGCCTTCTCCGCCTCCCCCTCCCAGCCGCCCCGTCACCATGCTCAGCGGACCGCCAAGGATTGTGCCCTTTGTCTTCGTCTTCCTCGCCCTCTGTCTCGTGTGGTGGTATCTGCACGCCGCCCCCGGCGCAGCCTCGCCATCATTGGCATGGAGGCCCTCGACGCCCGCCCACGCCAATCGCCCAGCATCGCTGCGCGGCGATCCTCTCGACTTTAGCATTCCCTTGCGCTTCTCCGAGGGCCAGAGCAAGCCGCCAGGCAGCAATTACACGTACAAGATTGTCGTGCCCAAGACCAAGGACGAGGACATCAGCTGGATCGCCTTTGAGATTCCCGATGCCCCGCTGGTTATTTACGAGGTCGACAACCCCAATGCCGAGTACAAGGTGCCCAAGAACAAGGGGCGCGAGGCCATGGTATGTGTCGCTTTTGCCGCTTGCTTGCCTTGCCCGTTTGGCGGCTAACAGCGTCCCCCCAGGTGTACCTCTCCTACATCATTGACCACTACGACGACCTCGCCGACACGACCATCTTCATGCACGCCCACCGCTGGGCCTGGCACAACAACATGCTCCTCGGCCTCGACTCGGCGCAGATGCTCAAACGCCTCAACCACGACCGCGTCGCGCGCCTGGGATACATGAACATCCGCTGCCACCACGAGCCCGGCTGCCCCGACTGGATACACATGGATCGCCCTGGCGGCGACTTTGACTTTTTCCACAAGCCCGAGGAGATTTACTGGCGGAGGAGCGTGTGGGAGGAGATCCACCCGGGAGCGCCAATTCCCCCCTCCTTGTCCGGCACCTGTTGCGCGCAATTCGCCGTGTCGCGCCAGCGCATACGCGAAGTGCCCCTCGAGCGCTTTATCCACTACCGCAAATGGCTGCTGACCACTGGCATCGACGACCAGTTCTCGGGGCGCATCTTTGAGTACATCTGGCACTACATCTTCACCGGCCATGAGATACTCTGTCCAGCCATGAACTCGTGCTACTGCGATGGCTACGGCATTTGCTTCGGTGGCCTGGCCAAGTTCAACGAATACTTCAAGAAGCAAGACGAGCGCAATGAAAAGTTTACAGAGTACGACAAGTACAACAAGAAGAAAGTCAAGGCAGAGCAGGACTCCAACTCACCCCAACTCACCCCAGAGGAGCACAAGAACATGACCGATCTCCAAGCTGTGGTTTCCGTCATGGACAAAGAGCTCGACGAACTGAGAGACGCTGCGAAGAAGAGGGGCGAGGATCCAAAAGCCAGAAAGGAAGAGACCGAGTCTTGGGATTCGACGCACATCTGGGACTATGCGCCACAGCACAACTAGCCGCGTCCGGGCGCGCAATGAGACTTGATATTGGTTCGCATGTCCGGGATGCAAGGCGCAAAAGGCGTTGATCGAGTTGGCGTTTTCGAAACTGAATTTGGCTCCGACGGTTTCTCCATCCCTGAGAGTGGATGAGCACGGGGTTTAAAAGGTCGTGACGCTATCATAGATACCTGCATATGTACACATTTGTGTCGCTATTTGACAATGATAGAAGGGGTGCTTGCTTTTCTCACCTGTGAGATCCATTTGTCCTTGACATGGACATTCATTCTAGTGGTGAGGTAGAGGCGTCTCTACATTCTGCGGTCCTCGCTACCAATGTTGTTCTTGCTTACCTACTCGATGCACATGTCGCCTGTACACGATATGCACGTGCTAGGACCAAGCAACAGGGTCACGTTTCCAAGCAGCCCCCGTCCTACAGAGACCCTTATTCCTCTGCAAACCCTCTCACGGCATTGCTACCGAACAACGAAGCTCTTCATTCACAAATCGCAAGACACAGACTTGCAATCATGCTTCTTTCCCTCACAATTTCCCCAACGGCTATTGGCGGTGCGCCTGCCTCACTGCTACCCCCTTCTGCCACTGTCACGTTGTTTGAATCTAAGCTTCTACACTCGCTCAACCACTCTTTGCCTTACCTCCAAGGCAGCACTTCTACTTCTCTGGTCTTTAATATGGTCTACGTGGTTGTTTGCTGACGTGTTTGTCCACTGGGCTTTGGCCTGGTACGCGTGAGCCAGTTTGGTCACCTCGCACCCTCTCACCCACTGGCTATCACCAAAGAGGTTGAAATATGCTCTAGAAGCCACGTTCACTTTCTCGCTTACGTACCTTAAGTATAGCGATATGCGCTCATGGCACAACTCTGCTTTTGCAGCACACACGACACCGCGATCCGCACCCGATAGATGCTGTAGCTGAGTCTGTCTATGCGCAGAATGCTAGCCACAGGCAATGCCCGCGCCGGTACAAAACCAAACCAAAAGAGAAAAACACGAAACGGTGCCTCCTCGCAGAACCAACATCATACTAGTATGTCGACCTGCACCGACTTTGCGCGCTCAAAGTCTACAAAGTGGTCACCGCCCCTGCCAATAACATCTGAATTGGAGGCACTTCGACAGCTCAAAACCGAATGGACGCGACACTCGGGCGCGCAAACTACACACGATAAGCGTGATTCAAAAAAGCGGCTTCTCATCGTTGATCTACACGACTTTGAGGTTTATCGTTCGCCCGATCACTACAAGAGAGCATACGAGCTGATGAGTCTGCATCTACTCGAGCTTCCTGTCTCCAAGAGATTGTGTTTCGACGGCTTTGTCCGTCTAGGAAACGTTCATCACTACATCCAAGGCGTACCGATCCAGGATAGCTCTATCGAGGGATATGGAGATGATCAAGATCCAAAAATCACAGCATACATTCGATCTGAGCTCGCCAACAATGATCCAACTTACGACATCTGGTACCGGCTGAAAGAGCCGACACTTCAATATCGACGCTTCCACGACCCTTTTCTCTGGGTAGCTCAGTTGGGAAAGCATGTCATCGACTACATGGAAGTTTCTCTGCGTTCGCTGAACAGTTTCCGTTCAAATTTCCATTTGTTTCTAATGGAACGCTTTCGTGGTCACCGCGACTTTGAGCAGTGGCATGCAGCGTTCAGAAATCAAAGCGACTTCCGAGTCGCCGTTAACGCTTATATCGATTACTTTTTCAATCAGGCGTACAATCTGCCAAATTCCGAACATTTACTCGATCAGCCCATATGGACTGACTGTATGGCAAAAGCCCTAACAAACACGGAGCCACAAGCTGATCCTCAGCCCACACTTGCGACACCACATGTGTATGCCTGCTTCCGGGACACGTATTTTGGCAAGCAAATGCAGGAGATGCGACCAAGCAGTGCCGTCCAAACAGAAAAAGAGCGCAGGAAACGCAAGCTCGGATTCGCAAAGTCGAGGGGGCCACCAGCTTCATTTTCTGTCGACTTGTCTAACCTGCGCTGCCAACCCTACGGGTCAGAGCCTGTGGCCGTTAGTGACATTATAGCTTATGTGCCGAACGAGACAGACACAAAAGTCTGGAGAGACACCCGTAGTGATTGGCTCGCATACGTCCAGAGAACTAAACGTTTAGACAACGGGGTTCAGAGATTATTTGTGCTATGGATCTACCGCCACTATGATACTCACATGGCTAAAGCAACGTATCCGTTTCAAAATGAAGTTTTTCTGTCTGATCACTGCAACTGCACAGGGGAAGAACTCCTATCGACTGAGATCAAAGGAAAATACGACGTCGACTGGTCTCCAAAAGTTATCGATTCGAAGCGAATTTTTATCCGGCAAACTTATAATGCACAAGAAAGTGCATTTGTAACTGTTAAAGACGAGCACAAGACGTGCAGATGCCAAAAAGAACGAAGCACACGGATGGACATGGACAACTACCGTTCAGGCGACACGGTCTATTTGCAGAAATCTCTCCATAACCAAGACATACTAGAGCCAGTCATCATCCAAGGAGCTGACGTAAAAGGTTCGATTATCGTACGGAAGCTTCTGAGACTAGGACGTGATTGTGCCAAGTTGGCAAAACAGGCCCATCGATTCTCTGTAGCCTCTAACGAACTCATTCTCACGGATGCATACGAGGAAGCACACATCTCCCAAATTCAGCGCCGTTGCTCAATTCATTTTGTCCCAAGGTTGGACGTGGCAAACGATCAAATACCTTTTCCGTACAACCGTGGAGGTGCCGGCGATTTTTGGTTCATTTCAATGGGCCTGACGCGTAGGGATGGCAAGAGACAACTGATATTTCTACGGCAGCTACCACAGAGCGTGAAGCAATGCCTTGAGATAGGAATCGACCGTAAACTGAGGGGCATAAGCATCTTTAGTGGTGGCGGTTCATTGGACAGAGGTCTTGAAGACGGAGGGGCAGTGGAATTCCACACCGCGATAGACACTAGCCTACACGCTATTCGCACGCAGCAAGCGAATATCAAGGATAGTGTCCGGAAGAAGTTCTGTCCGTACTGCGGTTCCGTCAACGACTTCTTACACTCGGCGCTCGAGGGTGGAGCAAAGGGCATTGTTCGAGTGGGTGAAGTGGACATGATATCGGCTGGATGTCCTTGCATTGGTAAGTATGGTAAGACATTCAAGGCCCGTAAACTTGCTAATGGCTACAAAAGCCTTTTCCTCACTTCAAAAAAATCCGTTGGGCCTCCAGTCGCTTTACAACGCGTCCCTTGTGAGCACCTTCTGCTCTTTTGTGGACCTGTATAGGCCGTTGTATGGCGTATTCGAGAACGTGATCGATATTACATCAACTAGTCGTGGTGGTGTTGAGGTCCAAAACATCTTTGCTCAAGTGGTAGCTTCACTAGTGTCAATGGGCTACCAAGTCAACCAATGCATCATGGATGCCTGGAATTTTGGCAGCCCACAGCAGCGATCTCGTCTAATAGTGACCATAGCCGCTCCCGGGCTCAGCCCAATTGAACAAGCATGGCATACCCACGGAACGCCAGAAAATACAAAGCAGAGAAGCCTCGGGGTTCTGCCCAGTGGGGTGCGATATGGGGGACGTGAGCATTATCCAACTCCGTTTGATCACGTTCCCGCATCAACAGTGGGTCTCGGGCTGCCTAATATTGGCAACGGCCTTACACAAACATGCATTCCGTATCCGGATCATCGAGTACCGAATTTGCCAACCTGGCAAAAACGAGACCTTTTGAAATACATCCCACGCCAGCCGCCGGGTTGTGGTTACAAAGAAGCTGAAGAGCGTGGGCTTATACCACCTCATCTACAAATCATCAAAGATGAGGAGAGAATTGGAAAATCATACAGGAGGATCAAGGCAGCTGGCCTCGTGCCGACAATAACAACGGGCATCTCGGTTGGAGATGCCCAGAACGGCGCCAATATACACTCGCATGAGCCCAGGACCATTAGTCTTTTGGATGCTCGCCGCACACAAGGATGGAGCGATGAGGAACCAATCATTGGAACTCTAAGGGATCAATACAGAATTGTTGGAAATGGCGTGGACCGCAAAGTGGCTTTTGCCGTAGGGCTAGGACTACTTCGGGCCGTTGAAAAGAACGAGGCTGAGTTCACGTCCACCGGAACTATGGAGACTTCTCCTAGCCTTATCGAAGATGTCAGCGATGACGATTCTACTTCGACGGCCCACAGCTCCACAAAAATGTCTGCGCGACCTCAGACAAGGCGAAGGCTTAGAAGTCCTACTTCATCTGTTGCAAGACACGAAAAACCGCAACACTCCAAGATGGTCGAGCAACCGAGAACCAGAGTGCCAAAACCCACCAGCAGAAACGACACGACTGTCGTGACCACTCTTCCCCAGACCCTCACAAGCCGCGTGAGCAGACTTTCTCTATCGGCAACACGCACCGAAGCAAAGACTACCACACACCGGATTGGCGTCAAGCGCTCCCGACGAAATTCTTCACACGACACGCTCTCACACGATGACGACGACACATGGCGCCCAAGCGAGCCCCCAAGAAAACAGACACGCACCAGCGTGACACGGGACTCGGTCCAACGACGCCGTACACGGCATTCCGGCTCGTCGGTAGAATTCGTCCCCAAGAACTGGGACAAGAAGGTCGAGGTAGAGTACCGTGGTTACGAATGGCGACATGGGGATTTTACATGACGGATGGGTGTAAGATGGGAATCAGACGGGAGTGTTGTTGTTGTTGTTGTTTTTTTATTTTAATTCGTGGCTTTTGGTTCAACGTTGAAGGGCTACTTGGAGCCAGTTTGTATGGGTTCATTATATGTGGCATTTAACTCGTCATATCACTGCACATGATAGTTTCGCTATTTGCATCTATATGTTCGGGATAGATAGATAGATAGATAGATAGATATGTAGAAAGCCGGAATATCGAAACGAGTCATCCCACTCTACGCATTCTCCGTACAATTCGCCCCCAGAGAATTCCATCCGTTTTTTTCACTTCCACTCCACACTCCAAGTCTGTTGTCCCCTCCGAAACGGCACCACGTCGACGCTCCCGCCCTGCTTGGCCAGCACATCGAGAATCGTCTCCGCGCCCTTCCTCAGCACAACCGTCTCGGCCTTGTTCGCCTCAACCTGGTAGAACCGTCTCCCCCAGACGCCAAAGAAGCCCTCGAGGCCCTCCCACGTCACCTCCTCCTTGGCGATAACACGCCTCTCGACGCCCTTCTCCAGCGCATCCAGCACGTAGCCCAGCGCATACGGCTGGGTAAACACACCGGCCGCCACTTTATCCTCGCCACGCTTCTTGATGCGCGGATGGGGCGCGGAATCGGTGCCGAGGAAAAACCGGCCGTTGCTCTGCACGACGGCGCGGAGCAGCGCATCGCGGTCCTCGGGCGTTTTGGCTACAGGCTTGCAGAAGCAGAAGGGGTCGCCGGCCCAGTCGTCGATGATGAGCGAGAGATGGTGTGCGGTGATTGTGCCTGCGACCGAGGGGCCACAGGAGAGCACCGTGGCGAGTGCGGCGGCGGTGCTGCAGTGCTCGAGGATAATGCGCAGATTGGGGAAGGCGGCGTGCAGGGAGAGGAGGGTAGGTAGGAATGCTGGTTCAGCGTTGAGAATGGTGATTGCGGTGTTTGTAGATGGTGATGATGCTGATGATGAGGAGGAGGAGGAAGATGCTGGATCGACGGGGGCGTGGGCCGGTGTCGAGGGTACTTCGCCGTGGAGGTTCAAGACCATGTTTTGGCGTTCCATTTCCGCGAAGACTGGGTAGAACAGCTTGTAGTCTAGTACGCCGGATGAGGAGTTCTGTTTTTTTTTGCATGGGTTTGTTAGTAGGGTTCTAGGACCACTGCTACTACCACTTCTGCTCCCTACTCTTTTTCTGCTCCTGCTTCTACTACTACTACTACTACTTCTTCTTCTTCTTCTTCTTCTTCTTCTTCTTCTTTCTTCTTCTTTCTTCTAACATGAAAAGACTAGTGGTGCAAACATACCGTAGTAACGCCCGCCGGATACGACTTGACACCCGTAATTCCAGCCTTCTTGGCCTCGCGAATCACCTCGGGCGTGATGTCTTCGTGCAGGTACAGCGACATGAGGTACTCGACATTAGGCTCGATGGCCCTGAGCCGATCGCGGTACTCGAGACATTGCTGGACTGTCGTGATTGGCGGGACGAGGTTCGGCTGTATTTCATGTTAGAATACACATTGTAACCGCCCTCCCTTTTTTTGGTTCGTTCTTTTGTGTGGCTGGGTTTCGAGAGTTTGGCTTGATGATATGAAAGATTTGAGACTGAAATTGGAGAAAGCGGTGGAATGCAAAGAGAAAATAGGAACGCTTGAGATGTGATAGAGAAAGAAAAGGTGAATGAAAATCAAAAAGACATTTGAATTATTTGATGACGAAACATACTCACCATAACGTAAACGGTATTCACTCCCCCCTGGCGGATAGTAGGTGTGACCAGCTGTGACATTTCTCCATCGCGCAAGTGCACATGAGCGTCAAATGCCCCAGGTAGCTCAATCTCTTGTATCTCCGTGATATCCATTGTCTCCGAATGCAGGCTGTTTGAGAAAATATGTCTCAATTGGGCGTCAAAGACTTTTGTCGTGGGGTTTAACTTGTAGAAAAAGCAATTTTGAAGGTCGCCCGAAAGCGGGGGACGCGCTAGGCCAAATGGGGATGGACACCATACAGATCAAGCAGAGGTTGAGGTGAACTCTTTAAGCATTGGACTATCTAAGTAGAGGACTCATTTGCTCTCTGATACATTAAGAGACTACATGCCGAAGATTCTTAGTCTAGAATCCGTATGTGCGCCGTAATCATGCTCTATGTAACGCCTATCCCAGCCGCATACACCAAAGGGTATCAAATCCTCCCAACATACACGTGCTCCAGGAGCAAACCTTGACACATGTAAAATGGGAGTTACAAATAATTCAAAAGACGCCGATAACGAGTTCGATATGTGTGAAGACAGGGCAGCCTCCACATTCTTCCAAGGGTAGACGGTCTCGATGACCTGCACCAACGGCGTGGAGTTGCGACGGTGTTGCTCGTATGATTAGCCAACAGCCTATCTCCCCACACTAGAAGGTGCAGCTGGACTGTTTAGCATTCCAGCAGATGCCTCGTTCTCTAGTGATATCTTCATTTCCAGCCACGAGTAAAAGTTTGGCGAGTTGCAAAAGGTCTCGTACATGCCATCTCTTGCTCGATGCCTCTGTATCGGTCCTGATCCCCGAAATTTGACACTGGTCCCGTACTTGCTAACGCTGCTCAGGAATTCTCGTACCTGGAAGCTAGCATACCTGCTGTTGCCTCCGGGTGTTACGACGTGGGATGTTGCGAGATAGCGGTTGATGGGCGCGATGAACTGAGCGGTGAGTTCGGCAAAGTGGCGGCGGACGATGGGTCCGAGTTCTCGAGTTTGGTCACCGAGCCTAAGTAATGCGTCAATCCGTGACACAATCGTTGGCTCTGACTTGAGGAAGCGCTTTGGGGGCGTGTGAACTTCGATACCACCGCCCGGGAGGTCGAGAAGTGCGTTGCGACTTGACTTGTGATGTAGCGAGTGGTGACGGCGCATCGGCACGGGTCCGTCGAAATTCTGCAGATACAGTATGTGCGGTCGAGCTTTGTGACTAGCCTCGGCGGCAGCGACGATTCGCTTTAGCAAGAAGGGGTTGGTGATGCCGATAACGAATGGCGTGGGTGTGCCGCCATCGATGCCGATACTCTTGAAATTTGCCTGCATAGTCATGTAGGGCTTGACTACACCAGCATAGGGAACCGGGCAGATGAGGTCAACAAGCGAAGACACGGCCTCGCTTGCCAGCTGGGGGGACTTTGCGATGACGATGATGCTTTCACACAGGATCAGTTTCTCGTAGAGCACATAGAGGTCGGTGATGCAGGGCATGTAGTGCATGATGCTGTCCCACGATCCAATGGGCTCATATGCATAGATAGATAGAGGCGTATCGGATATCAAGGGCGTGGGGCCAGGAAGGCCCTGCAAAGGAAACGACCGGTGTGGGGCAATATCCAGCCTCAGCATGGTTCCCATGAATGGGAGGTCATGGCGGCCTACCGATGGGGGCATCCACGTGTTCATCTGCGAGTAGGCCGCCTCCAGCGTAGTTGGATCGCTAAGGTAGCCTGATTCGGTCATCTTGTGCAGGATGCGGTAGTTCAACGAGGTGAAGTTGTGGTGGGAAACCAAAACCAGCGTTCGTTGGTTGAAGCTTCTCTTCATTGAGCCATCATACTCCTGGCGGAAGACACACGAGCCATACAGCGTGTCTGCGCTGCCATGGGGCGCGTTGGGCGAGGTGATTTGGATGTCAGGCGAATTGTTGGTAATGGCAAAGTGGTAGCAAAGATCCTCGGCCGTCTCTGTATTTTGCTGCTCGGGGAAGCTGCTTGCGTCTTAGAGGGGCAGGGGCCAAGTCAAATGTGCATACGGTACCTGTTGAAGCATATGGCGCTCAGGTCGGCGGCCGAGAAGGGGACTTGTGGGGGATAGAGAATCTCGATTTCGGGACTAGGCCAAGGCTCAACATGACGTGCATCCAGACGGTGCGTGTGGAGCCTAACCTACCCTATGTCGACATTGAAGTTGCAGACGATGCTGTCGCCGTTAGTCTTGGCAGCGAGGGGCTCGGGGCGTCGCTGGGGACTTACAATGCCACGGCCCAGTGCTTGAAGCCTCCGGTCGCAATGGGCGACAGCTTGGGCTCTCTCAGCCGGTCCATGTCGTCGTCTCGCCGGTCCCGACGATGGGGGGCCAGCAGCTTGTTCTTCAGCTTCTCCATCAAAGGCCCCGGGGCACCTGACAGGCGCAGGTGAAGGCAGAAGCGTAAGGTGAGGCGGATGGGCGAGGTCAGGGCGAGACGGAACCTGACCAGCAGCCAATAGACTAGCAGAGGTTAGCGGCCAAGGGGGCTGCTGGCAGTGGGCAAGGCCATGGACGGGTGGGTGGCGTTTAGACGGGCAGGGCGGCGCCGTCGCGGGCAGGCCATGGCAACTCCATCAGGCGCATGCGGCGAGAAAAGGGGAGGGCGGGCGGGCGAGGGAAAGAAAAAAACAGCAGAAGGTCTTGCATTGGCGCGTGTTGGACGTATGCGCATGCACAGGTACTATTCGGGGCGCGGGCGCTTGTGTACGATGACGTGCGGGCCCTCGACTCGCGTGGCTCTCGGACCCTCGTCGAGAGAGGAAACACCAAGGCCGCACGCAGGTGAATGGAGCTTTGGCCCGCCCTGCACCCCTCCCCCTCCCCTCGTTCGATCCACGGCAGCGGCAGCGGCACTGCCACCAGCACCAGCACCGCTCTTTTGCCTTTTGCCTTTTGCCCTCTATCCCCCCCCCCGCGCTGGGCACGCCACAGCACCGCACGGCATGCGAGACGCGGGCAGCTGCACCATGTAGTAGAGCTGTCCTGCAGCCACTCCCTCACCATGGACGCCAACATCACCAAAGCCCTCAACGACAAGCTCTACGACAAGCGCAAGAGCGGCGCCCTCGAGCTCGAGGGCCTGATCCGGGACGCCCTCGCTGCCCAGGACCACGACAGGATAGCCCGCATCGTCCACCAGCTCTGCCACGAGTATGCCTATGCCGTCCACCAGCCCCACGCCCGCAATGGCGGTCTTATAGGATTGGCCGCCGCCTCGATAGCCCTGGGCCCGGTGCGTACTCACCCTCCATCGTGCCGACTTGGGCTAACCCGCGTGCAGGAAGTCGCCCGCTATCTCGAGGAGATTGTGCCCCCGGTCCTGGCATGCTTCAGCGACCAAGATGCCCGCGTTCGGTACTACGCATGCGAGAGCATGTACAACATTGCAAAGGTGGCAAAGGGCGAGATCCTCGTCTACTTCAACCAGGTCTTTGATGCGCTCTGCAAGGTGAGGACGTGCCTGTGACGCCCTGCCCCGCCTCTCCCCTTCTCGTCGTCCAAGAACAAGGCTGACATGGCCGCGAGCACGCAGATGGCCGCAGACTCGGAGCTGTCTGTCAAGAATGGCGCAGAGCTGCTCGACCGCCTGATCAAGGACATTGTCTCGGAATCGGCCGCCAGCTACGTCTCGGTGCTGCATACCTCGGACGAGCACGACGGCGAAGAGGAGCCGTATCCATACGCCTTTAGTCTCGAGCGCTTCCTTCCTCTGCTCGAGGAGCGCATCAACGTCATCAACCCCTTCACACGATCCTTTCTGGTTGCATGGATCACCCTCCTCGACTCGATTCCCGATCTCGAACTCATTGCCCATTTGCCGCGCTTCCTCGGCGGCCTCTTCAAGTTCCTGAGCGACACCAACCAAGATGTGTACACCATGACACAGGCGGCGCTCGACAGGCTTCTGAGCGAGATCAAGAAGATTGCTCGGATCAAAAAGGGCATAGAGGAAAGCAAGAAGAGCACCAGCAAAGACGAGCGCAGGAACTCTGCCGACAGCATCCACAGCACAAGCGACACCTCCGACTTTACACCTCTCGACACCCAAGACTCGATCGACGACCAAGGCGACGCGGATGAGGGAAGCGGCTCCATCTCGGGAGACAGCGGCAAGTCGATGAATGGCGATGGCAACTGGATACCCGGCCAAGACGTCCATGTCGATCATCCCAAGATCCTCGAGATACTCGTGGGTTTCCTCGTCCCGCCAGCTGGTGAGCCCCGCTTTCAGAGTCCAAGGTCCAACTAGGCTAATGCACGTAGACACTGAAGAGGAGCAGACGGAGATCTTGCTCGCGGCGCTGCGCTGGATTGACAACTTCTTCGACATTTGCCCAGAAGACATCATGCCGTTTGTCCCGAGCCTTCTGTCGCACGTCCTGCCCAGGATGTCGCATGAAGTCGACACTGTGCGCAAAGCGGCCGTCAAGGTCAACGCTTCGCTCATGGACTACATCCTGTCGCTATCTGACGACAATCGTCCACGCGATGGCGGGGCAAGTGGACAGATCCAACTGCCGCCTTCCCTATCTGAGCTCGGTAAAGAGCTTACTGGCACGCAGCGGCGAGACTCTAACCTATCTGGCCGATTGCTCAAGGCAGTTATCCGTGACCAAGCAAACAGAGTCGAGTCAGCTGATGGCAAGAGTACGCGGTCCCCTACACCAGCAGAGGACAGCGGGGCAGCCCCTCGGCCCATACCAGAGCTTGATTACCAGGCCGCGGTTAGCGCTCTGACGTTGCAGTTCTTGAATGAGCACGAAGCCACTCGGGTTGCCGCGATAGCATGGCTGATAATGCTGCACAGGATGGCGCCTGGCAGGGTAAGCACACTCGGAGCTACGCCTATACGGTACTGACGTAGATGCAGATACTCACAGTGGACGATGGAACCTTTCCCGCTCTGCTCAAGACGCTGTCTGACCCGTCAGATGCGGTTGTTACTCGTGACCTGCTCCTGCTGTCCCAGATCTCTCTACATAGCGATGACACATATTTCACCTCGTTCATGGTTAACCTGCTGAAGCTGTTCTGTACGGACCGTAGATTGCTCGAGACGCGCGGCAACCTCATTATTAGACAGTTGTGTCTTACTCTCAGTGCAGAAAGAATCTACCGCACCATGGCCGATTGCCTGGCCAAGGACGAGGATGTCGAGTTTGCAAGCATCATGGTGCAAAACCTAAACAACAATCTCATCACGGCACCAGAACTCGCAGACTTGCGGAGACGACTAAGGAATCTCGACAGCAAGGACGGCCAATCATTTTTTGTTACTTTATTCAAGGCCTGGTGTCACAACGCCGTAGCTACTTTCTCACTGTGTCTTCTAGCCCAAGCCTACGAACAGGCCTATCATTTGCTTCAAGTCTTGTAAGTAGTTGTGCGTATCCTAGGCACAGAGACTGACAGTACCAGTGCCGACCTTGAGATGACGGTCAATATGCTCATTCAGATCGACAAGCTCGTGCAGCTCCTCGAGTCTCCTGTATTCACCTGTAAGACTTGTTGACAGGAGAACGATGGACATGATTACTAATACAAGCCGTTTAGATCTCCGCATGCAGCTTCTCGAGCCTGAACGGTACCCACACCTGTACAAGTGCATGTATGGGCTGCTGATGCTGCTCCCTCAATCGTCTGCCTTTGCTGCGCTTAAGAATCGCCTCAACAGCGTCTCAGCCATCGGTTATCTACACATTGCGCCACAGCGCAGTGCCTCGACGTATGTGCACCCTTCCTCCTCCCCCTCTCTCAATCACTTGCGGCAAAAAAGCTCAGACGCTGGCACCAACAGTAGTACCAGTAGTGGTATTGCCTCTACTGGAGGAACCGCCATGTCCAACTTCGAACGCCCAGGTAGGTTGAAGCCAAGAGATGGACTGGGCGGTCCGGAAGCAGGTGCCATTGTCAAATGGAACGAGTTGCTCGAGAGATTCAAGCAGACGCAGGAGAAGGCTAGGCGCACTCAGAGAATGGCCAGTATGGGCGAAGAGGAAGAGGAGGTGCAGGAGAAGATGAAGATGAACCCTACCGCCCCGCCCCCGCCTGTGCCACCGAAGAATGTAGGTGGGATGCGACCAGGAAGCCCTGCAGGAGTCATGAGGCCCGCTCCTCCACCTGCGGCGCCGGCTCCCGCGCCGGGACACAAGCCACGATCGAGTCTGAGCAACCTGGGGAGGTTCGCTGGCGGCGTAGCAGGAAGAAGAAAGGACAAGAGGTAGCATGTGAAAGACGAAAGTGCGGCGTGCTGCCATTGAGAAGACAGACAGGTACTGGGTCTTAGTTTAGGCACCCAGGCTGGTGCTGACTGGTTTTTGCATGAACTTTGCGTAGGCGCGGGTGGTTTTTGGGAGCATTGTGTGGCGTCTGTTTGGCGCAATGATGACTTTGTTATGATACTCTGCAAGCATGGGCGGCGTCTATCCACGAGCCAATCTTTCAACGGTGTTTGCCTTTTCTGAACCTCACGCCGTCGCCGTCCTTGTCCTTGCAGCCGGTTGCTTCTGCTGCTGCCGCTTGGCCCGGCTCGCCCAGCACCCATGTCTTGACAATCTCCTTGATCTCTGGCTTCTTCTTCTCTAGTCTCTTTGCCTCCCTGACCTTCCTCACGTAGCCGCTGTACACTGCCACTTCGGCCACGGCTATGGCCAGGGCCCCGCCCATGCTCAGCCCCAGTCGCGACCCCACGCTCCAGTGGCGTGCGGCGACCCAGATGAAGATGGCGACGCAGACAATGGAGACGAGGATGTTGATGATGAGGATAATCTGGCGATGCACTTCCTCGTACGACACGTCGTCTTCGTCGCTCGCGGCCTGCGCAGCCCCAATGCTAAAGGGCGCGGGGGCGCGGGGAAAGCGCTGCGAGAAGGTCTCGCGCGTAGGCGGCGGGTGCAGCATGCGGTCGTACGAGAGGGCTTCCTGCTCGGCGCGCAGGCGGGCCATGAGGGCTTCGTATTCGGGCGTCTTTGGGGGCTTGGGCGGCGGGGGCGGCGTGTAGAGGGTTGTGTTTGCGAGGAGGGCTGCGAGTGTCCTTGGGATCGCCTCTTCTTCTGCATCTTGTGTGGTTTCTTCGATGGCAGTTTCTTCGATGGTTGTCTCTGGGCATGGGCGCGGCAGATGCTTCTTCAGCAGCTTGGAGAGGCCGATCAACTGGCGGTGCGAGATGGGGTTGCCTGGCTGGGGGTCGGCGAGGGCGGGCTCGTCGTCGCGGTGCAGGCCAGCGTAGTCGTCAGGCGCCAGTTGCTCGGCCCTGGCGACTGCACGGGCGATGCCGGGCGTCATTGCCAGGAGCACCATGGCTGGCTGTGGGAATACTTGTCGGCGTTGTGTTGTTGTTGGGTGAGAAAGCTGGCGGAGTTCCGCAGGTGGTGGTGAAGAGCGACGTGACAGGGATGCGCGGGGAGCTAGCGTTCCGAACGTCATGGATATTTTAAACTTAACAAATCTAGGCGATAAGTAGCTTGCAGGCGAAAGGCTCAATTGTGCGGCAACTGGCCCACTACCGCCCACTTCCTCAGTCTGCCCCGGGCCCCATTGACCAGAATCGCTCAATTGCCTCTGCTCTGCCTCGCCGCTCCCCCAAGGCCGCCTGAGAAGCGCTCCAGCACGCCCATCTGCAGCTTTTTCCATGTCCAGCCGAACACCCGGGCTCGCGACGTTGATCGCGCGCCCGCAAACGTCGTCGTCGCCCTCTGCTCTACGCCGCTCGTCATGTCCCTACAGTAGCTTCGCCCTCTCGCGCCCCCGAACAAGTCAGAATGCAGTGTCGCCGCCATATCACCACCCCTCGCGGCGGCGGCCCCAGTCGTCGTGGGCGGCGGCCGTCAACGTAGCGCAACATGTGCGCTCGACACCGCCGCCCGATGCGCCCATCAAGATGGATCCCTTCCAGACGGTAGCCCGCGAAATGAAGTTTCTCACAGGCAACATACGGCAATTGCTCGGGTCAGGCCACCCGACGCTCGACACGGTAGCAAAGTACTACACGCAGAGCGAGGGCAAGTACGTGCGGCCCATGCTGGTGCTGCTGATGAGTCGAGCCACGGCCCTGACGCCGCACCGGAACGTAGCAAGAGGCGACATGGGAATTGGCCGCCAGAGCGCAGACGCCAGCATCACGTCACCGAGCATCCTTGCCGACGACAACCCAGACACCAATCCCATCACCAGCATACGGCACGACTCGGCATACACGCCCGACGACAGCGACATCCTCCCCTCGCAGCGCCGCCTAGCCGAGATCACCGAGCTCATCCACACAGCCAGCCTGCTCCACGACGATGTCATTGACCACTCCGTCTCGCGGCGGGCCGCGCCCTCTGCCAACGTCGAGTTTGGAAACAAGATGGCGGTGCTCGCCGGCGACTTCTTGCTGGGCCGAGCCTCAGTAGCGCTAGCCCGCCTGCGCGACCCCGAGGTCACGGAGCTGCTCGCCACTGTCATTGCCAACCTGGTCGAGGGCGAGTTCATGCAGCTCAAGAACACGGCGCGCGACGAGAAGAACCCCGTCTGGACCGAAGACACCCTCACCTACTACCTCCAAAAAACATATCTCAAGTCGGCCTCGCTCATCTCAAAGAGTTGTCGTGCTGCCGCTATCCTCGGCGGCTCCACCCCTGATGTCGTTGACGCCGCCTATCTTTACGGAAAAAACCTTGGTCTCGCCTTTCAGCTCGTAGACGACATGCTCGACTACACGGTTAGCGAGGCCGAGCTGGGTAAACCCGCTGGTGCAGACTTGGAACTCGGTCTTGCGACTGCGCCGCTATTGTTTGCGTGGAAAGAAAATCAGAGTTTGGGCAAGTTGGTTGGAAGGAAGTTCTCTCAGCAGGGAGATGTGCAGCAGGTAGGCCTCTTCTTATTCACAAAAAAAAGCGTGGAACAAATAAAGTATACTTACTAACATGCACATCCCCCCAGGCCCGCCAAATCGTCTCCCAAAGCTCAGGCCTCGAACAAACACGTGCCTTGGCCCAGGAATACGTCGACAAGGCCATTGACGCCATTTCCTTCTTCCCAGACTCGGAAGCTAAAACGGGTCTCCTGAAAATGTGCACAAAGGTCATGAAGAGGAGAAAGTAAAGTCAATAAAATCAAAAAAAAATTAAAGACAAGATGATGAAATTCAAAAAGAGAAAAAGAAATGATCGAGTTGAAAAAAATGATGCATAGACAGAAAAAGGGTTTTACTGGTCCAATCTTAATACTTGATCATGATGCATTTCATTCACTTGCTCCATCTCTCTCTTTCTCTCTCACTATCTTCTTTTTTCCCCATCTTTTTTTGTTAGCATGGAGGTGGAAGATTAGTTGCAGGTATATCATCTAGTCAAGTTTCTTCTTTTCTTTTTTCCTTTTTTTTTTCCAAACCCTCTTACTCTCTTTACTCTTTACCCTTCAATCTTTCTTAAATTCCTTGCTTCCTTGCTTCCTTCCTTCCTAACTCGACTCCATTTATTTATTTATTCATTTTTTGCCCCCATACTACTACTCTACTCTTATCTATCGCTCCTCGCCACACACCATGTCAAAGTTATGCATGCATGTACTATATAGATGAAGATTTTGGTACTGTTGTTGTAGAAAATATATAGACACACACACATATATATATATATATGTTCTCATATTCACCAAAATAAAAAAAAAGGAAAAAAGAACCCCGGCAAGGACATTGGGATGAGGGCGGCAGAACTATAGAACGAACAAACAAACCAGCAAAGAGAAGAACGGTAAGAAAGAAGCAAGAAGGAGGAAAATGTCCATGGGAAAATGGATACGACCCTGGTTCCACATGAGGCACAGCAAACTGAGGGAAAGGTATACGATGTATTTGATGAAAAAAAGGTGTATTTACTTGATTTACGTTACTACAACAGACTAACCGACCAGTTAATATCACCTTCAAAAGGACGCACAAGCTGGCCTTTTGCCTGCAAGTGGTCCTTGACCTGTTTGACCGTGTACTCGCCTCTGTGGAACTGCATCGACTCGTTAGCTCATACACAGAAAAAAAACCCCTCCCCAGCATTGGAAAATTCCAAGTCAGAGGGAGTGAAGGAAATAGACTCACCATTCCAGCACCCAGAGCAGCATCCGTCGTCGTCTTTGCAAAGACGTCTTCAAAGTGGCACGGGTGCCCTGCTCCACTGCTGGCGATAACAGGAATCTTGATGGCGTTCTTGACGTCGGCGATGAGCTCCGTGTCGAAGCCCGTGTTGCTGCCGTCCTTGTCGATGCAATTAAGTAGGATTTCGCCGGCGCCCATGGCCTCGACGGCTTGCACGAGTTGGCGCACGTCGACGTCGCGGCCCTCGCGCCCGCCCTTAATGGTGCATTGGTACCAGCAATACTGCTCGCCGTTGGGGCCCGGCGTAGCCGTTTGGATCGTGTGGTGCGGCGTGGCGTCGGGTGAGGCGACGTACACGCGCTTTGGGTCTACGCTGATGACGACGGCTTGGTTTCCGTATGCCGCGGAAATGGTTTCTATGGCCGTTGTGCCCGAGAGCTTGCTGCCACGCGCGTAGTACTCCTCCGCGGCTGTCACGGCATCCGAGCCTATGCTGACCTTGTCGGCACCAGACTTGAAGTACATGGTGGCGATGTCGAGGGCCGAGATCTTGGTGCCGTCCGTATCGACTGTGTCGCGTATGCCGCCGCCTATTGTGAGAGGGACAAAGACGCTTTCACTTGTTTGCCGCAGAATCTCGAGCATGGGCGTATCGGCGACCGGACAGTTGCGGAACGAGGTGATGTTGAGAAAGGTGACTTCGTCGGCGCCTTGCTCGTAGTACTTCTTTGCCATTTCGACGGGCTTGCCCAGATTCCGGACTTCGTTGCCCGTGCCGTCCTTTTCTCGCACGTCGTATTGATCACCCTTTGTCACGACGAGATCACCGTGGTCGTTGGTTCGTACATCGAGACATGCAATGACTCGCCTTGTCAGGCCTTCTTTTGTTTCGGCTGCGGACGGCCTCTCGGGCAGCTTTTGCGTCTTCTTGCCCTCCAAAAACGCCTTGATGACGCGCAGCCCTGCCGCGCCACTCTTTTCAGGGTGGAATTGTGTGGCGAAAATGTTGTCTTTTGCTACAGCACCCACAAACTCCTCGTCGCCATATCGCGCGGTGGCGACTGTCCATCCGTCCTTCTCCAGCTTTCCCGGCTCGTAAGGCGCGGCGTACGAGTGGACGTAGTAGTATTTAGATGTCGGTCGGAGTCCGTACAGAGAGTCCTCGGTCACTTCGCCAGCCCGCGACGTGTTGGCGCTGTTCCATCCAATGTGTGGCACGCTCTTGTCAGTGGCCTGGAATTTGCGGAGGCGCGACGGTATCACGCCGAGACCCTTTACCTGAGGGTCTTCCTCGGAGCCCTCAAACAGCGCCTGAAGACCGACGCATATTCCCATGAACGGCTTGCCGGCTTTGATGTGTTCGCGGATGGGCTCCGTGTAGCCGGCCTTTTGCAGCTGGGAGAGACAGTGACCAAAGTGACCGACACCAGGGATAATGAGTTTCTACGGGCGATGCTGTATCAGCGCTTGTCAATTGGTGTGCGCTTATTGGTGAGAGGGAAGCAGTACCTCTGCCGACGGGACCTGGGCGGGCGACTTGACCCATTCCACCGTGTAGCCGACCTTCTCAATGGCATTGACAAGAGAGCGGACGTTTCCGGCGACGTAGTCGAGCAAGTGAACGGTCGGCATGGTGGCGAGTTCAATTCAATATCACTTGCAATGGGTGAGTGAGAAAGTCTGACTCCACGCGCAGTCGAAGGAAATTTAGATGCACTACGCCGTCATCGGAGGGGCAGCCAAACCGACGCTAGTTGCTAGTGCCCGCGGTATCCCTGTCTAGCATATCTCTGGACGGGATTGGGGTCGGTCGGAGTGTGTGGGTTCAACGGCTATACTGAAAATCTGCCGTACGGCACGCGGACAGACGAAGCCGTCCCAGAAGCAAGAAAAAGGAGACGACGGCAACTCGGGGCGGGCCATCACCAGCCAGGCCACGGAGAGTCGTGAGCCGCCAAAGCCTATCTCTGTGAATGCCAAGAGACGCTAACCGAAAAGGTAAAATAATGTGAGGCTCTGCATGGATGGCGTGCAGGTGCAAATCTTTGGATCCTCGGTCTCCGGGCGACATTTTCTTAGAGGCGCATCCCCACGCCCTTCACCTTTACCGCCTCGCACCCTACCGCCCGTTGCAAAAATGGTGCGCAAGCTCAAGCATCATGAGCAGAAGCTCTTGAAGAAGGTATGCATCTGCTGCGCGCAATTCGCCCACGCGGCCGAGTGAGCGCGAGGCTGATTGGACGCTTCTAGGTCGACTTCAACACGTACAAGAGCGACAATGAGTAAGTTCGGTGTATTTTTCTCCCGATACTCAATATGCTGACTCTGGATGAGTCACCGAGAAGCTGCGGTCATGCGCCGCTATGCGATCCAAGGGCGTGACGACTACCGAAAATACAACCAGCTCGCGGGCTCATTGCGACAGCTCGCGCACAAGATTGCCGCCCTCGACCCAGCCGACCCCTTCAGAAGGAAACATGAAGACCTGATGCTCGAGAAGCTGTGGGACATGGGCATCCTCGGCACCGGCGGTGGAGGCAGGGGCAAGCTGAGCGACATTGAGCACAAGGTCACTGTGTCTGCTTTTGCGCGGAGAAGGCTGCCTGTCGTCATGACACGCTTGCGCATGGCCGACCACATCCAAGCCGCGACGACGCTGATCGAGCAAGGCCATGTCCGAGTGGGAACAGATGTCATTACCGACCCCGCATACCTTGTCACCAGGAACATGGAGGATTTCGTGACATGGATCGACTCGTCCAAGATCAAGCGCAATATTATGAAATACCGCGACAAGCTCGACGATTTTGAACTCGAGGCTTTGTGAGCAGCATTGTCATCTTCGATCGGGCGGCGTTTGGGCATTCGAACATTTGGAGGCGTTAACTGTTTGCGATATCCGGCAATGGAACTGAACAAATCAACACTCATCGGCACCAGGGTCCGATAAAATCGATACGACAACCAGATTGCATTTCATTTCTTATCACTCATCCTTCAAAATCAAAGCGTAGCCTATATACCATGCCAAGACAGGAACTGGCGATTGAACGACACCGAACATGTTCTCTTTCCCATGCTCAGGTGTATTTTCTTTATTCCACAAACAACTCGCACCGAGACATGGTCAAGGTTCCTGATGTCCATCCATTACAGCTTTGCACTCTTCTTAGCCTGGCCCGCTGGTCCATGCTAGTGAGATGCGCCCGAGAAACTACATCATACGATATATCATACTACTTGGGAGTAAGACCCTACTCCCCAATCTCCGCGAGTACACCTCCTCCCCTCTTCTGCCATTGTTCCACGCAATGAGCTAGTTCATGGAGGAAGAGAAGTAAGAGTGTCTCGTATTAGAGGTCAACTAGCCATCCTGTTGTCTCGTTCCTGGACAAACTGAAAGGAGATTATGTTTCATTCGACGGCAACAACCTTCTTCCTTCCCTCATTTCCTTCTACGTCCAATCTCCAGACTGCAGTAGAATACTTTCTACGCACCCCTTTTATCAGCCAAGGGTGTACACGCGGCCGATGCAATTTCGCGTCCTCTTGAAGAGATAGGGTTTAGAACTTCGCAAACCAAGTCAAGATCGACGATTACGCCATGAGTTTTGGTCTGGCTGCCAGGAACTCACGACGCCTAGGCCCTGCTCTTTTATGTAAAAGCCAAGCGTAGCAGTGGATGTTAAATTAGGCAACACGTAAGACCAGCTGGTATGGCGTATACTAGCTCAACTTTATTTCAAACTTCAAGCAATCGCAGGATTCGGAGCGCCTGACCTTCCATTCCTAGCATACATGTCGATATCTTGGGATATTTCTGGCAGTTCCAGCATCTCGATATGCTTGTTATGGTACACACCTAGAACGTTGTGCGATGGTGGGGTAGGGGTGTCTTACCCTGGTCTTGTAATGCGGGGGGTGTGGAGATGATCAACGCGTGGGGCAGCCTGCAGTATCGACCGAAAGGGTGCCGAAACGCTGCTCGAACAATCTAGGAAAGTGTTGCTTTCTCGGTCCGTCTAGGCATGACACGTGGGAAAGAGTCTCACATTCCTTAGCACCATGGGGCATCTCTGAGAAGCATATAATTTGGCTCTCCGATGGTGTTTAATATTCAGCCAGACTAGACGTCGATAAAGATAGATACCCTAGGATACTCAAGGCCTACCGGCTTCTGCTGCTTTCTTTTCATGCAACGCTTTCCAATCCGATTGCTGAATAGCAACAGTCTTGTTGGTATACTTCCTCTTGTCGACACTTGGGATGAAAAAGGCTGCTATGACGCCTAGTAACCCGAATGCGAGCTCCACCAGGTAAGACAAATGGGCGCCTTCAAGGTACGCTTGCTGGTTGCCTAGGCGAGCTGCGGCTTGGATGGCAGGTGTGATACCAGGAACTGCTGCGTAGACTGCAGCACTGTTTGCTCTCGCAGCGGCAATGAGCCGGGTAATAGTCTCTGAAGGGAGGTTGAAAGGAGCGAGATTCGACCGAACGCGAGCAGGCAATTCATCTCCATATTTGTTGCTGGTAATGTTGCTGAAAATGGCGGTGGCAACTGCTCCAGCAAGGAGACGTGAAGTACCCGCCAGACCAGCTGCAGTGCCTATATCCTCTTGATACACGATACCAAACCCGACCAGAACCATGCCGTTCAGGAGATTGACTGACGTGCATGTCGAGATGATGACTGTAAGGACAATCGACTTGACTGGGTTGTCCATTGTGGAAGTGGACATGGCACCAACACACGCGATTTGCAAAGCGACGGCGAACATGATGACCCAGCGTTGGTGACCAATGTACTTGCTGAAAGCTACAATGATGCCGCCGATAATGGTGCCCAGAGGAAGCACTTCGGCGTATAGGCCCTTTGAGATTTCATCGCTGGCGTAGATCAGTTGCGAGAGGCGGGGCCACAGTGTCGCCTGGGAATAGTACTGCATTCCTCCAATCGCCATGACCAACATGGGCACGGTAAAGTGCCTCAAGGCTCTAAAGAGCCGCGGTGGGAAAAGTGGTGCTGCAAGAGTATAGTAGGCCTCGTATAATCCTAGTCCGATGAGGATGAGCAGGCCAATGATGATAGGAGCGAGCACCGTCGCGGAGATCCACGGAGCCATGGAGCCGCCCCAACTCACACCCACAATAAACAGCGTGCATCCAGCCAAGAACAAGAACAGTCCTAGCCAGTCGAACTCCCTGAGAAGCTGTCCTGCCGACTTGCCATGTTCGCTTTTCTTCTGCTCCCAGGAGGGTGGATTGTAAAAGAAAACAAGCAGTGCCAGGTTGATCGCCTGGAAAGCAATCATAACGTAATAGCAAATGCGCCAATTGCCCGTCTCTTTGATAATAACCCAACTCACCACCGGCATGACCTGCGCAACAATAGACGCAGCATCAAACAGGCCAATGGTAACATGGCGATACTTGCTCGGCACAATCTCCTGCACGGCTCCAAACGCCATTTCCAGGAAGCCAGAGCCACATCCAAACAGCGCGCCACCAGCGATCATCTGATTGATGCTCTGGCCCGTGGCGCTGACAACACTGCCGATGATGAGGATAACAGCGCCGGCAATGAAGAAATAGCGGCGCCCGAAAATATCGGACAGCCGGCCCCCGACCGTGACAAACATGGCGCCTCCGAGATTCCAGGATATCGTTATCCACGTGTACCGCGGGTCGGGACCCAGCTCCGCGTTGATATACGTCAGGATGGCGGGCGGAATCAGAAGTGTAAATAGGTATGCGTTGTAGCACATTGCCATTGATACCGCAGCCATGAGCGTGCGGACTATGTGGAAGATTCAGGTATGTGTCAGCGGTATGCGGATTATATTTGTGTTTTGGGTTGGTTTCGTGTGTGTACTTACATGTGAGGCCGACATCTTCGCCTGTCGTCTGCAAATGCCTGACGATCTCTTCGTTTGCGTCTTCGCGTTCCGATGGGGTATCATTATTGGTACGGCCTGGGCTGTTGGTATTGTTGACTGTTTCAATGCGCAGTGTCGATGTCTTTTCATCTTCTTCTTTTTGGCCCGCCATGGTCAAGTTGAATACAAAGGCCTTTGTTGCGAGACACCTTGTTTTATCGTAGAGCCGAGACGGGAGAAGAAGAATATGCAGATGTTACTTCTGTTCACGATGACTGGGAATCCAACAACAACTGCACAAGTGAAGGACCTGTGTTCTCTTAAACAACCACCCTCAACTTCTTCTCCACAAACCCCACGATTGACAACTGCCGCTAGCGCTACCCCGGAAAATCCTCAGCAGGTATACTTGCAATAACATATCTATCTACTGGAGAGAGATGTATCGAAATATGGAGAAGTTTACGGGGGGTGTTGTACAAGGATGCAGATGGGCACCGCTATTACCCGATCTGGATAACCCGACATATGTGTGGCGGCGGCCTCGTCGGGTAATTGGTGCGTGGGGTAGACATCGGAAAAGTTTAGCCAAGGGAGCCAGGCTTGAGGAGTATACTGTGGGTATTGTTGTCCTTGAATGAGCGCGCTGTGTGTTGCGAGTGTATAGGTAAATACAGAGAGTGGAATGAATAGGAGAAACCATGTGAGCGAAAAGAATTGGATTTGGATACTTACCGATCTAGTATATCTTTGAAACTCTATGCAGATCACTTCCGCTGCGAATTTCGTTAAATCGCATCCGTCAGAACTGCATGAGGACCTCTAGCTCTGCGCCTTGAGTTCATTTGTCCCGGCTAAATTGACTGACCAGTACCAAAGTTCAGTCGTTCTTTTCGGTTTCGACAGCTCCAAGTTCAACATCCCGCTTTTCCCAGTAACGACTGAGATCGCCTAGAGGCAGAGTGATGGACCACCCCATCTCCACCAGCATGATTGCAACAAGTATGTACCAGCCCAGTACCGCTATCACGAACAATATGGCACCGCCCATCTGTCAGCGGTCAGAATCCGATCAAAAAAGGACGTACATCATTCTCACCTTCTGCAGCATCATAGACTTGGAAAACTGCCCATTAGCCAGAGCCCAGTATGCTCCGCCCAGAATCCAGGTTGCTACCGCCCCCAACACAAAGAGTGTTACAAACGCTAGATTCATCCTGATAGTGAACAGCGCGAATGTTGCCATTGCAAATCCCCAAACAACGCAATAAATTGCAAGGACGGCGTTCATCTCGTGACTCAATGCGCCCTCCGCCGCATTCCCGTTCTTGGAATACGCACCCGCCAGGCCAAGCGATGGAAGCTGAAGCAGGCCAAAGGAGAGCCAATAGACTGAAAAGAGGCCTGTAACCATCATCGGAAAGAACTGCCCCTGGATCCAGTTGAAGATTGTGCTGAGCGTAAGGAGAAGTGGGCCAGTGAAGAAGAAAATGCCACTGGTCCATTCGTCAGTGTCTTGCTATGCTGTTTTTTTTTGCTTGCACGCATGGCTTACACGACGGCCTCAAGACCTCTTGCACCGCCCCAGCCCATAAGCACCATGGAGAAGGTAAAGGTCGAAATCACAAAGCTAAACACGTATGAGCATGTTCCGACGCCGAGTCGTAGATGCATCTCACCCTAGAAACCCCAGAGGAACGGAGTTGGCGTATTGAGTCGTGCGGACATGCGTATTTGCATTCGCCCTCATGGAATCTAGGCAGAGCCTCTCAAACAACTGTGGGCTGAGCGACACATTAGTCGTTGTCTGCGTGAGACGAGGCTCCTTGTCGATACGATCCGAGTCGATGCTAGGGCGACTATGTGCCATGGTATTTGTCGCCATGTCTGTTATTGGGGTATCTGGGAACGAGCAAAGCAGTGCTGATATTCAGAGGATGCCGCGAACATGTATCAGTTCAGATATTCCGCATCCTTTCCACTGCGCGGCCGTCTGCAACCACTTTAAGTCTGCGGGGTCTTCAAACCGTCTGCCTGGACTTCATCGCGCTACAGCCCGCTCTGCAGTAGGCTTGCATTGGATCTCAGGACCTACCGTTTCAGAGGCATCTTGGTGGAGTGCTGCCGTTGAGCCTCAGCGGTCCGTGACGTTGGCTGGACATAAGGTTTGACATGCCCCGGAAAATCGCCGCCGCCAAGTAACCCTAGTAAGTAATAGGTGTGCGCCTGAGCCTGTCAGCTTGCCATACAGGTGATAGCGCATGGTAGTATCCCTGCTTGCTGCTTTGAAGATGCCTTGTGGCTGCTCGGCCCCGAAGTGTCCTTGCCGCCGGGTATGTCGGTTGGAGTCAGCAACAAGAGGTCAGCCTTGTCACAAGCAGGGTCTCACTCAATATCTTCAAATGAAGATTTGTCATGCTATCGTGATAGGGGAAGGATCTATTGTACGTGTATCGTAACCCAAGACATAAGTGCCCCGAATATGTACATGATTCAAGCCGGGGCTACGGGCTGAAACAGCATCCCAATACATACATGGTGGGAAGAAAAAGAAATAATACATTAAGGGGTGTAATCTAGCGTAAGAATGGTAGCGAGATGGGATGGAAAAAGAGATAAAAGAAATATGGCAGGCTCACAGCTCAGGCCATAGCGGGGGCGACGGTTCTGCTACGCCAGCCCAAGCCGCCGAAAAGTTCCTTTTTCCCCAAGCCTAGTCTAGCCGGATCGACACGTCCCCGTCGAGCAGAAGAGACCCGCGCCTCTAGAGCCCGGAGTCATCCTGGGGCCAGTAATCGGCTCTACCAGCCTTGTACGCGGCCCAGTTTTTGCAAGTCCTGTACCACTCGGACCCGGGCGCGGGAAGCTTAATATCCTGCTTACGCTCCAAGAATTGGAGACTGAGGCCGCTTTCGACGTGGGTACCCTTGGAGGTGTGAGCGCCATAGCCGTGTAAAGGGGGGAGGAACAGAAACTTACTATATGGCAGTGGCACAACCAAGCGCCTGGGTTGTCCGTAGGGAAAGCGATAACAACCCAGCCTGTACCGGGGAGCTGGACGACGTCGCGACGAGGCGGATTGGTGAATTGTAACGATTTGAAGTGAGTGTTGATATCGAATGTGCCATCAAGTCCTTGTCCCAAGATGGAGAAGTCGTGTCCGTGGAGGTGGATAGGATGAGCAACCGGTGGGTTTGTCCTGAGCTGTTGAATTATCCAGTAGGACCACGTCGATGCAGAATTTGAAGGGAGGTCAATGACATTGTATGATTGGGGGATACTATCGTTGTGCTCTGCGACGTACTCGAGAGTCGGCTTTCCTGGGTCAATGTGCATCGCTACGCCGTCGATGGACCATAGCACTGTGTTGCCGTGCTTTTTAACACGGCCAAAGCCGACAGGAAGCTTCTTCGCATGGTCGGCAAAAGTTTTGCTGGGTACGTCTACCGCAACCCTGGGCACGGCCATCGGGTCGAGGCACGCTGTAAAAGGGATGGGAGGAGCAGTCGAAGTAGGGTCGGCTACGGCGTGTCCTTTGTACGTGAAGATAGCACGTCCTTCGCCAAGCGCGCCTGATTGGCATAAAGTGTCGGCCACAGCACGGAACCAGTAGTTCCCTGCTTTCTGGTCTGCCGTGAAGATTACATCGTAACGCTGGCCAATTCCAATCTGGAGATGCGTGGTGGTATACGGTTTGATGGCAACAAAGTCGTTTGCAATGACTTTGAAAGGATGACCATCGAGGTTAACCATCATGTTCGTCTGCAACGCAGCGTTGACCAGTCGCAAGCGGTAGCGTTTGCCTCGTTGGATCTGGACCTTGTTCCACGTACCGCGTCCAGTTGCACTCCTAGCAGTTCCATTGACCAAGATGCTGTTTGGTATTGGCGGCCTGCCTCCGGCTTGGTCATTTTGGTAAGCAATGGAGGATATCTGGTATGATGTTTTGTGGTACCAGTCGGAGATTGGCATCACACCGAGATCTTCGTCGTAGCTTCCTGTAGCTGGCCCATTGATAACTATAGGACCCCAAACGCCTTCGCCTTGAAGGCTCGAAAAGTGTGCGTGATACCAGCTTGTTCCGTGCTCAGTAACCTGAAATTCATACGTCTTGACATCGCCAGGGGCAAGAGCACATTCAGTGATGCCATTCACACCGTCCTGTATGTTGTTGTTCAGCATGCGGAGTCCGTGCCAATGCATTGATGTTCCGTTAGATTGGAGATGGTTTTCGACCGTGATCCGGAGGGTGTCCCCCCAGTCAGCAACAATGGTTGGCCCTGGGAGCATTCCATTGACGAGCATGCAAACCCTGGAGGGACCACCATCCGGGCTGCAAGTAGTGTTCTGAATTTTTAGATGGTAGGTGCGGACAACACCAGTATTAGGCCATGATTTATATGTGTTTGTTGTATCGGTGAAGCCGGGTGTCCAACAGTGTCTTGTTTTTGGAGTATTGCCGACTCCGACACACGAAGGCGGATAATTATGTTTCGCAGTTTCATCGCACTCTGGGGTGGAGTGATCATGATTAGGGGACTCGGCAGGGATGGCTGATGCCTTGACAAGGGAATGGGTGAGGCCCAGGAGGACAGTTCCAATGAACTGGAGCGACTTCATGTTGACTAGAAATTAAAAAATTAAAATAAACGAATATTCCCTATAAATTACAGAAGGAAGGTGGGAGCAATAAAGCTATCGCTGTTTGCTGTTGAGACCTTGATCTGGTCCGAAGAAGCAGCGCCAAAGCAGCTTCTTATATATAGCTGACCGCCATCCAAGGCATTCTCCGCCTACAATTGCAAAGGAGTTTTTTTGCTCAAGCCTAGGCAAGACCTTAGTGAATACGGCCTGGGTATCCCCTGTAGTGAGATCCCGGAATATTCGGTACGCGGAGATCATAAAAGGCGTCATGATCTGGAGGCACCTCGTCCGAAGCACGTAGCATACCAACTTGGCGGAACGGTCAGCAGCTTGCCAATGAGCATATGGTCCCATGTGAGCTAGGATGAATCACGAGTTATCAAGTTCCACATTATACCCTGTCGCGTCTGCTACTCAAAAGAGTAATGGTAAAGGCGGTAACGATACCGTTGAACTCCACAAGCAACACTTGAACAAATCGGAGGTCACGAGAAATGATTCAAAGGCATATTTTTCTGGGTGTGGCTAGAGGGAAAGGCGCCATCTTGCCGTGGACAGTATTCTATGGCTGATTCAATGGCTGATGTGCATTGACGTGGCTATGTAAACAAACCCGGCCTATTAGGTGTGCTTATGCCTGATAAACCTACCACCTATGATACCGTCTTTGTACCCAAAATAAATCCATTTCCAATATTAAAATTTGAACGACTGCGAAACTCTATTCATTGTACGATGCATTTTATCAAAGCTCGGCCAAGGGTACTCGCCCTTCGGGATCAACAGGGGGTGTAATGCTGGGCCAGTCTGACAGCATTGAGTTGTAGTAAGAGATGACTGGAACATCGCAATGCAGTATTACGCCAAGCAGCACCTAGTGCTGAGCACATCCAGGGCAGACATCGATCATTCGCGCGCCCAAATAGGCATAGTAAATATTGGATACATCGGATATTCTGGCAAAAATAGTTCTGCCAAAGTTAATCATTGTGATGGCCCAAGAAGTACGAAGAGAAGCCTTGTCCACTATTTCCTGTTTGGCTGGTTCAGGAAACGGTCGCGAAGTGAGCCTTGGAGTGACATTCGCTCGGCATTGAGTACGGACGCAACAACGTGATGGTGGTCTGACTTCTAAGCCTCGAGGGCATCAGAAAGGTATCGACTCAAGTATTATTATTATTATTATTATTATTATTGTAGTTTAACGTCCTTTCTCAGCCCACAGGGCTATATAAGACGTGCAGGCTTAAGGCCTGCAAGTAACTACGTAGGCTAGAATTTAATCTAGGTACAAATTGAGTAGGTACAATGTAGGGGTTTATCTAAATGAAGGTGAGGCTCGTAGCCTAGTAGTTTTTTAGTGAGTAACTCTCTCAGATCTTTCACTTTAAATGAGTCTTCCTCTCAAGTTTTAACGAGTAACTCTCTCAGTCGAATAGGTAGTTTAATGAGTAACTCTCTCATGTGGGTGGACCATAAATATGGTTGTGAGGGGAGAAGGATTCGAACCTTCGATCTTTGCTGACGTGAGACAGCAGAAAATTTTCCAGGCACTCCACCACTGCGCCATCCCCCCCCGACTCAAGTATTGAATGGCTAATTTTCTGGTAGAATTGCGCGATGACCATGTTATCTTGAAGGGGGTATTTGTCAAAGTAAAATGTAAGCGGCGCATTCTAGAAAAGTAACAATCTCCGCAACCCGCCTTCCAGTCCCGATCTCAGGCAGTTTTATTGAGACAACACCGGTAAGTTGTGACTGTAAGTCTAGCATGCGTGTTGCATTCCTTAAAGGTATGGCGCCACGGCTGTATTCATATACGCAGTCCGTAGAACACCAACGGACAGGGAACCGTAATGGGGCCTCATCGTAGAGTTTAATTAAACATTTTATTTCGATTGAGTTGGAAAATGTTCGAAAGATGACAAGACAACCATCAGGCTTACAAGGCTAGTGCCAACCGGGCAGGATTTACCTCGGTGAAATGACCGAGGTCTATACCCCATGTCACGCTTTGACACAAAGGCCTGGGTGGAGGTTTTGTGAGGGGAAGATCAAAGGATATAGAAATACATGTCAGCATCCCGTGCAATTCTACGGAGGTGCCTCACAAAAGTTTTGTCCTGCCAAGAATAATTTAGCCGAAATCTGGCCGCTCTCCTACACAACGCCTATCTCTCCCCTCTATATACTCATTACCACCTTGTAGCTCAATTATCTTTGGAATATGTATAAGAATACGCTCAATCCAAGCTTGGATCTTAGCTTGTGGGAGATCTCTCCAGCAATTTAGCCAGATTCTAGTTGCCTCCGTTCTTGACTGTGGAGCTCCTTTCTTTGTAGTCTCTCTCTTCATGTAGAACCAGCATGGCTCAATACAGTTACAGTCTGGAGAGTTGCCAGGCCAAAGTAGTCTCTCGACGTTGGATAGACTATAGACAACGTTCTGATACTGGTGGGCGTGCCCAGGTGCCTTATCCTCCATAACTACGGTCTGAGGCCTATCTTGGAGGCACTCTTTGGCGAAAGGAATCAGCTTTGGGATCAGAACGCAGCTCTGATATCTCCACCAGTCTATACCGCCTTTGGACGAACGCACTAGCTTGCCTGTCTGCTCTGTCCATCTCCATTGAGGCTTCCTGCCAGGCTTATTACGTAGT